AGCTCATCATGTGGATACCTAGATGAAGATGAGATCGATTAAGTCCCTAGACTAACGGCTTATGAAGAGTCAAGTTATAAACCCATCCAAGAGGGAGAAATAACTACAACAACAACAACAACAACATACCCAGTATATTCCCAACAGGTTGGGGTCTGGGGGGTTCAGTTGTACGCAGACCTTACCCTTGTAATTATACAAGGAGGCTGTTTCCGTAGAGACCCAAGGTGCATTGCGCCGTTTGATATATTTTTTTTGTTCTAGAAACTTCACTAATAGAAGAAACACTAGAATTTAATTGAGCCATTTTGATCTAGTCCATTATTAGCACTATGCCAGGAGAATTGTCAACAATGACTCTTCTAGCTCCATTTGCAATGGACAAAGAGGGAGAAATAACTAATGACACCGAAAAAGAAAAATATCAATAAAAGAACTCAAAAGACATTGATAAAGAGAACATTGTTGTTGTCTCCCTTGTCATACAACATTAGATTTCTCCCACAAATTATGAAAAACGAACAAAAAAATGTCCAAAACTACTCCAAAATTAAGAGAAACAAATGAAACATTGCAATGACTATTCATGGATTATTTTATTGTCTGATCTCGTCTTCCTCTCGGATCATGGAGTATGAACAGAAAAGAAATCAAATGAAAACTGACGAGAAACATATGGGTACAGTGGCTTCCTTCAGCCCCTCAAACCTGAAAGGAGATCCACAACAAAATCATAATTGTACAAGACAAAGCATTTACACATACCTTGTTGTTGTCCAGTCCTCTTATCCTTTATCAGAGCAACTTCTAAAACACGTCCATGATTGTCAAACAGAGGTCGAACGTGAATCATTGAGGTAAAAAAAACAAGACAAGATTACATTGGAAATTGTGAAACCTAACCAGTTAACTAATGCATTGAATGGAATGAAATTTATATATATGTAAGTAAATCTATCGATGTAGTGCCTGACTTCAACAATTCTTATGATAAGAGTCAGCGAGCAAAGCCTTAAATTACATTAGAAGTCATGATAGTCACACTAGATGAAGTTCTATTCACTAAAGTTTCTTCCTCTAGTACTATAAGCTGATGTTTTATTAACAAAATTTTCTTCCCTCCCGTAAGAACACTCTTGAAATATAGTAACCAGACTACAAAATGATTCACTCTGAATCTCGAGTTGGTGAAACAGAACTGTCCATTGCTGAAAGAAATCCTCAGAAAATCATTGATAGTTTGAATTAAGACATTGTCAAGAAAAGACTTAGTCAACAAAACCAACAAAACCATACGTTCTAATTTATTGTCATATTGATGTTTGGGACGGAGCTCCCAACAAAAGGGAAAAGCCTGATTTGCCCTGGCCCTTTATCATCATGATGGATACCTAGATCCACCAACGTTTTAGTTGGTAAATTGTAAATCAGCAAGTCACCTTGGGTATTCTTAGCAAGCAGATTATCATTTTTGTAGAGGCCCAGTACCCTAACAAGAGGAGCAGCAACCGCAACTTCAGCAGCAGGGATGTCGACAGTGGATGAACGGGACCACCTATGCCCAGTGTCATCACATACCCAGATCTCGAAACTGAAAGGCTTCTCCATTTCACCAGAAATGCGCTTAAAATCATAAATAACAAGAGCGAGCGACCCATGATAGTCGGCAATAGTTCGTCTCCCTCGCTTATCGCTCTTGGGCAAACGGATAAGAGCACGGCCAAACTCCTCCTTAGCAAAGTCGAATGAAACAACAACACGATCACCACCGGGACCCAGAGCTATCCAATAATAAAATCCATTAATGTAAATAGAAGAGGCTCCACAGAGGTAGGTGTTGGAATCATGAGGATAAGTGATTGGCCTCGACGAACCAGTTTTAACCGACGTCACCTCAGCAAAGACACATTCTTGGGGATCATCGTACACGCAATACCTGACCACTTTACAGTCCCCAGATGCAGGATCAAACCCGACGCCGTAAGCCCACACGCGAACAGTATCAGAACATAGCCCAACGGGTAACGCAGGTACGGAAGAGATAGTAGAAGAATCAAGGCGTACGCGCTCATCGGTTGTAGGGTTCCACAGAAACTCATATGGCTCTGAAGGGATTTTTTGGCATATCACTAACATCCATCTGTTGCAACTCGCTACAACACAATAATCGGAGCAGCCAATAATGGGATTGTAGTTTCCATCTGTGAGCAGAGACAATCTAGCTCGAAGATTGTCATCTTGTACTAGTTTGATGGAGTTGTTAATGGCTGAGATAACAGAGCAACAGATGGTTCCGTCGACCACATGCTTCACCATAAGAATGAGATTTTCGTGAGAAACAGGAGAGTCAATCCTTGGCAATAATCCCTTGCATCTGCCTGCTGACGAAGAGTGATTCGCCGTAGAGTCTCGTTTCAAATCCCTAGTTCCCCTTCTCCATCTCTTTGTCAAGGATTTTGATTTGAATTTCCGTTTGAATTTGGATTTGGATGGGGCGAGGGCAAGTAGATTGGTGATGTTTGAGAGGAATCCCATGTTGGCTCTGGGAAGCAGCAATCGCCTTACAGACCACAAGCTCCGTAGATTCGTAGAAGCACTGGGTGCGATAATGGAAGTCAGATTTATTTATTTATTTAGAAATAAAAACAAAAATAAGTGTACAAAACCCAAAAAATTAAAAAACATGCGTTTTACACTAAAATCTCAAATTATAGAATAAAACGTACTCACATAATACGTTTTAAAAATAATTAATAAATAAAATAAAATATATTATCATAATATATTTTATAAATAATTAAAAAGTAAAACATATTTTGATAATACGTTTTATATTTCAAAATTAATAAATAAAAGAATTAATATATAGTATGTGTTTTGTGTTTTGGGTTCGTTTGGGCTCGTCTGAACTCGGAATTGAGTTCTGATTTTCCAATACGTAACTAATGAACCCCTCTATTCAATGATGCATACATAACCAAATTACTCTTGAAATAATAATTTCAAAAGCTATTGACCTACACATTAAACGTGTTTCGCGCGACTTTGCTTTTTGGGCCCGTTCGGACTCGTCCAAGCTCGAAATTGATTTCCGTTTCTTCCTATATGTAGCCAACGAACCCATCTACACAACCATGATTGTCCGGTCAATTTTTGGGATAAATATATTCCTCACGAGCTAAATAATTAACAAAAGTAAGTACTTATCTACTGGCAACATCTTCAAAGCTAGTGTAACCATGGTTTAGAAAACCGGACCCGATCGGCCCGTCTGACCGGTTGAACCGAGAACCGGACAGTTCACCGGTCTGGTTCCCTAGATTGAACCGTTTTCATATAAAAGCGGTCAAAACCCGGTCAATAACCAAATGAACCGGTCAAATTGGATAAAACCGGCCCAAAACCGGTTGTTTAAACCGGTCAGTTTTT